AAAAGGTAAAAAAGTTCCCTGACCCCAGTACTAGACTGTTATGGATCAAGAGGTCTCAACTGAAGGTCTGTAGCCTATTAGGAGCACCACAGAGAATGGCAGTTACTATAGTTTCAGCCCTTTCTGCAGACTTGTCTGAAGGCACCTTGAAATTATGCAGATGAATCTTGACCTGTCCAAAGTGGAATGTACAGCAGTTTTACAATGGGGGGGGGCTGGAGTGTCTTCTCTTCTAAACATTGCTTAGATTAGGAAATTCAAAGTATTTGTTGGATGTTTTAATACAGAACAAGGAGAGAAATATAAAATCTTCTGTCCCAATATCAGTGGCTGTAAACATGGTTTCTAGTTCCACCTATGACTCATGGGCCAAACAGATAAGGCATCTCCCTCCCTCAACAGCAGGGTGCCCATCTGCTCTAGTTGGAAGCCACCTGCAATATGTGGGAACATTAGTTATGTTCCTCTTTGAATAGCTCATCAAGATGAACTTGTAAAAGCCTGCTCCTGAAGTACCTGGGGCCCTTGAGGCCAAGTATCTTGAAAATATATTTTTTTAATTTATGGTTGCCTAGATGTTTGCTAGTTCTACCACCAAGTTCACAGTGTACTTGCTTAACTGTCTTTTGTTCTTACAGTGATGCCAACATAAAAGATACTCTTTCTGACTCAGACTCCGATATAGGCAGCACAGAACAGCTAGACCAAGGAAGCACAGATACCCTGGTCAACGGCTGCAAGGCAGATACCGAGGCTGCCAAGAGACTGGCCAAAAGGCTCTACAACCTGGAAGGATTCAAGCACTGTGATGTGGCTCGCCAGCTTGGGAAGAAGTGAGTGGCTGCACTGAAAAACTAGGATGAAATAATGCTGGGCCTTCAGTGGGGTAGGTGGGAAAGGGGTTTTTTCATGAACATCCCTCCCATGGACCCGTCTTCAGCCATTTGGAGAAGGTATTCAATTGTGGGATTATGTTCCTCTTTCTCCGTCAGCAAACAGGACTGTTTTTTATAAAGCTAACCATTTGAGACAGACTGTGAGTCTGCCAACTTAGTGGTATGAACTAAAAAATATTCACATTTGATGCACAAGCTACATCCTTATCCCAAGATAACTCCAAAGAGCCATATCTACGATTTATCCATAACTAAAATCAGAACACAGTAAAAGTCTGCCATGGCAGTGATAAGGCAATAGAATTTGGCTTTCAGGACAAGAGAGCAATTGGGCTGACTTTTTGTGCCCTTAGTTGTGTCATCGCATAGTCAAATCTATGTTCGTATATGCCACCATGATATCAGCATGTCCCCTGTAAGTCCTGGCTGACTGGAATAGCACAAATAACTCTTTGTTTTAATGCAGTAAGCAGCTGATTGGAGAAACCATGTCTGAAAATAGTTCCGCAAAATATTTACACAACAATAGAACAAAAAAATTCATTCCCAAGTCATTTTTTTCACACTGAAATTCAAACACCCACCCACACCCATGTGAACTGGAACTATTTCAAGCCACAGAGACTGAATCTATCAAAATCCTAACAAATATATGCCAACGAAAAGGGAAAACAAAGCAAGGGTCCAAGAGACTGCAAATGTTCAAAATACATTCCAGTCTCCAAGAAAGGAGCTGCCAAGGAATCCAGTAAATGTAGGACCATTGCTGTAACTTCCCAAGCAAGCAAAGTGATGCTTAAGGTGTTGCAACAAAGGCTTTTACCTTGTATAGAGCAAGAAATGCCTGGTGTTCAAGCTAGATTTTGAAAATAAAAAGGCACTCAGGATCATATTGCAAATATCCGCTGGCTACTGGAGTGCACCGAAGAGTTTCAGAAGAAGTACACTCTATGCTTCATAGATTGCAAAGCCTTTGACTGTGTGGATCATGAGAAACTATGGATGGTGCTGAAAGAAATGATACTATCTTACTGGCAGAAAGCAGCAATGACTTGAAACGACAATGAAAGGAAAAGAAGAAAGTGCCAAAGCAGGACTGCAGTTGAACATTAAGGATCAAATCATGACAACAGAAGAGCTACACAAATTTAATGTTGACAAGGAAGAAATTGAAATAGTTAAAGATTTTAACTATCATTAATCATTATTCCAAACTGAGACTGTAGTCAAGAAATTAGAATACTGAGACTTGGAAAGACAACAATGAAGGAATTAGAAAAGATCAATGCAAGGATGTGTCACTGGAAACCAAGACCAAGATCAGCTACAGTTTTTATTTCTGGTCACTGTATACACTTGTGAAAGCTGGACAGCAAAAAAAGCTGACAGGGGAAAAAATGGCCCATGTAAAATGAGGTGCTAGAGAACAACTTGTGGATACCCTAAACTGCCAGAAAAATGGACAAGTCATCCTGGTTTAAATCAAGCTTAAACTATGTCTGGAGGTAAAAATGTTAAATCTAAAGCTGTCCTAATTTGGGTACATTATGAGAAGGCAAGATTCTCTGGGAAAGACACTGATGCTGGGAAAGGTTGAAAGCAGCTGGAAAAGAGGAAACATATAAGATTAATTAATTTGGTAAAGGAAGCCACCCCTTCATGGATTGCTGCCTTGTCAGCCAAAAGGACGCTCAGCTGTAGACGTGCCTGGAAGTGAAAGGAACATCTGATGCTGTAAAGAAAAATACTGCATAGGAACCTGGAATGTAAGATCTATGAACCTTGGTAAGCTGGCTGTGGTCAAACAGAAGACGGCAAGAATAAACATTGACATCCTAGGCATCAGGGAACTAAAAATGATGGGAATGGGTGAATTCAATTCAGATGATTATCATATCTACTATTGTGGGCAAGAATCCCATAGAAGAAATGGAGTAGCCGTCATAGTCAACAAAAGAGTGGGAAAAGCTGTATTGGGATACAATCTCAAAAATGATAGAATGATTTCAATACGAATCCAA